GGCACTATTTAATGGATTGGGGGAGACATTTAGAAAGATTTAGGAAAAAATAAAAAGGAAAATATTTTGATTCATGTGGAAGAGTGCACTGATCTTGGGAGCTCCTGAAGACACCTTCATCAGGAGATGAGAGCCAAGGTGAAATCAATGAGGAAAGTAACATTACAATGGATGGCCCCATGCATTTTGCAATTCCACTGAAGAAGAGCAAAATTACTAATCTCCATCCCTATCTCCAATTACTAGTTATATAATGTTATGACAGAGAACCGATTATTGTTATTTAGTTACAGCATATTCTTGCTGAGGCTTTTTGGTTTAGGTATTTGGAGGGGGAAGGGAAGAATGGAAAAGAATTGTTAACCTTATGTTTAAAGAAAATACCTGCATGTTGCTTTCCACATATATTCAGAGTTAAGAGGATGAAAAAAAAACAAACCTGCTTATAGGATGTTTTGCTGCAAGGCAAAAAGTGTACTTAAATCATCAGGTACAGGTTTGAAAAGCTACTATCAACAGTAAATCTTTGATGTATTTATTGATCAGTAAGTTTCAGATAACTTGTGAGTTTCAAATAAACTATTCTGAAGTAAATTAATGCTCTGATGATTTACAATCCGTACAAAGACAACAAACCTTCTTTTAATATAATTAGGGTAGCCCAGTCTCAATCTTTTGGAAACACGCTATGAAAGAATAATTCTCTTCCTCTGAAGAGTTCACTTCATGGGCTAGTAATCTTGAATAAGTTAGTGCTATGGAAAAAAACAAGCAGTGCCAGAGTTGCCTGTTACAAAGTGCATGTGTTCCTACTATAAAAAAGGCTGACATTTCTACAGAAAAAACTCTATGCTTGTAAACTGAAGATGGAAGTGACAACCAATGTATCTGAAGTCTCGTTGTCACAAAATACAGTGTAGGTTATTAGATATTTTTATTTTGGGGTAGCAGGCAATATGAAAAGAATACTCTTCTAAAGGAAAACATATATTTCATTTGGAGCTAAATGAACATTTAAATCCCTGGCCCAGAACTAGTACAGTATGCTCTGCACTAATAATACACCAGAAGGTTTTCGTTTGTTTTTTGCTCTACGAAAGCCAGCATCATCCCGGGTCTGTTGGGTAATCGCATAATGGGACGTGAACATGTGAATGGATGACCAGGTAGCGGTCCTGCAGATGTCCTGAATCAGCGCCTGGGCCAGAAGGCTGCTGATGAGGCTTGTGCTCTGGTCGAATGGGTGGTTATGATCACCAGCGGTGGCATCTTTGCCTGTTCATAGCAAAAACTGATGAAGGCGGTAATCAATGAAGAAATTCTCTGAGCAGAAACAGGAAGGCCTTCATGCTGTCTGCCACCGCAATGAAGAGTTGCATCGACTTATGGAACAACTTAGTCCTGTCAACACAAAAGGCTAGCGTTCTCCTGATGACCAGAGAGTGTAGCCTATGCTCCTCATCTGACTTATGAGGTTTTGGAAAGAAGACCGATAAAAATATATTCTGGTTAGTAGGAAACTGTGAAACTACCTTGGGCAAAAAGGCTGGATGCAGCTGTAGTTGAACCTTGTCCTTAGAGGACACTGTGTAGGGCAGCTCTGATGTAAGGGGCTCTGATTTCAGAGACGGTACGGGCTGATGTTATTGCCAGCAGGAAGGAGACCTTCCATGAGAGAAGAAAGGGGGAACAAGAATCCAACCGCTCAAAGGGAGGACCCAGGAGCCTTGACAGCACAAGGTTCAGGTCCCAAGGTGGGACAGGGTCACGGACTTGAGGGCAGAGCCACTCCAGAACTTTTAGAAATCAGACCATCATGCGCTGAGCAATGACTGACCTGCCCTGAACTGGAGGGTGGAAGGCTGAAATAGCTGACAAGTGGACTTTGACCGACAAAAGTGACAGGACATGGAGCTTGAGATGCAGAAGATAGTCTAGGAACAACTGGAGTGAGGTCTGTTCAGGCAAAAGATTTTGGCCCGAGGCCCAACATGCTAACCACTTCCACTTGGCCAGGTAGGTCGCCCTGGTGGAGGGCTTTCTGCTACCCATCCGTACCTGTTGAACACGACCCGAGCACGCCTTTCCCTCTGCATTCAACCATGCAGCAACCAAGCTGTCAGGTTCAGAGCGGTCAGATTTTGGTGTGTGGTTCAGCGGTAGTTTTAACAGAGCTGCTATGGAGAGTTTCAGCAGAATGCCGAACCAGTATTAGCGAGGCCAAGCCAGAGCTATCAGGATTACCTTCACCTCATCTTACCATAGAATCACAGAATATCAGGGTTGGAAGGGACCTCAGGAGGTCATCTAGTCCAACCCCCTGCTCAAAGCAGGGCCAATCCCCAATTAAATCATCCCAGCCAGGGCTTTGTCAAGCCTGACCTTAAAAACTTCTAAGGAAGGCGATTCTACCACCTCCCTAGGTAACGCATTACAGTGTTTCACCACCCTCCTAGTGAAAAAGTTTTTCCTAATATCCAACCTAAACCTCCCCCACTGCAACTTGAGACCATTACTCCTTGTCCTGTCCTCTTCTACCACTGAGAATAGTCTAGAACCATCCTCTCTGGAACATGAGGTTCATCTTCATGAGGAGTCTGATGAAAGTTTTTGCAACACATGCTTCACATGCAACTCCCCCAAACACTTTAGGCAGTTGCTATGGAGGTCACTAATAGGCACAGGCTTGTTGCAGACTGAGTATGACTTGAAGCCCGGGGACCGGGGATTGCCTCGTCTCTGGGATGAGGTCCCTAACGGGGACACTAACTATTAAACCTATATAAAAACTACTAACATTAAGTATTGAGAACTATATACAATGAAACACAGAGAAACCGCTATCACACTTGCAAATGCAAGAGGAAAGGTGCTCTGACTAACTATCACAGGCAGTAAGAAGGAACTGAGAGGGCACAGGGCCAGCAGTGCCTCATATACCGGCACATGAGTGCAGGACTCCAGATGGCACCAGAGCCCGCCCTACGGCTACCACTACGGCAAAATATTCCGACAATGGTGCATACGGGCACGCAAACACCTAGAATGGAATCGACGTGAGCAAACACTCAAAGAAGAACATCCCTCTTCCTCTACACCTAATTTACATGCAATAATTCTAATGCTTGCAAGGACAGTGGTATGAGGGAGACCAGACACATGTCAAGAGTGATCAAGGATAAAATTATTTGGCCTGAATGTCACTGGTCTTCAAAGATTCTGTGGTCACATGCTAGCTTGGGCTACTGTATATGAAAGATTCTCTGTGGCACTGCTGAATCTGCTCCACTGCACAACACTGGAGCAACACTGCAGGGGAAATTGATGTACATGTGCAGGAGGAGCCCTTCAAGTCCACAGAAGTTGTGGCTTGGGGACAGGATTCTCTGTGTCCGCTCCACTTCATGTGGAACCAGTCTCACTAACGGAGCATTCTAAAACAGTAAGTCAACTGCAAATTAAGGAGATATTCACCAGGTTGCTTCAGCTACCTTGTGCTGTTCTGCAGTTGCAGAACAACCAGTAAACCCAGTTTCACTGATTAGTGTACTTGGCCTGCTTTGGTGCACCAGTGAATGATGTTAAATTTTTTTGTTTTGTTTTTTTAATGATTTAGGTTCATACTACATATCTTCAAATCTTTAGAAATATTGCATAAAAGCTCTCTGTGTTTCTTCTTTAGTATTTGGGACTCCAGTTTTTAAAAAAGTTAAAGAAGTTCCCAGACAAATTTTAAGATGTAACTATAGTTGACTGTGCATCAGTAATTTGTAGATAAAACAAACTACATGGAAGTTAAAATTATGGCAAAAACAATCATAAAATCAGGAAATTCGAAGTTCAGTGACAGGTTTCAGAGTATCAGCCGTGTTAATCTGTATCCGCAAAAAGAAAAGGAGGACTTGTGGCACCTTAGAGACTAAAATTTATTGGAGCATAAGCTTTCGTGAGCTACAGCGTGATCAGGTAAGGTGAGCTATTACCAGCAGGAGAGCGGGGGGCAGGGGGGACGACCTTTTGTAGTGATAATCAAGGTGGACCATTTCCAGCAATGACAAGAATGTCTGAGGAACAGCGTGGGGGGAGGGGGGAATAAACATTTGGAAATAGTTTTACTTTGTGTAATGACCCATCCACTCCCAGTCTTTATTCAAGCCTAAGTTAATTGTATCCAGTTTGCAAATTAATTCCAATTCAGCAGTCTCTCGTTGGAGTCTGTTTTTGAATTTTTTTGTAGGAAAACAGTTCAGTCTCTTTGGTCACTCAGCTACAGACCTAAAAGTGGCAATTCTTCAACAAAAAAACTTCAACGAGAACCAGCAACAATGACCTGGGGAAGTCTGCAACACCTCAGATACCTTTCCCCTTGCAGAGGTTTTTCAGCAGTTGAATCTACAATATACTTACGAAGGATAGTTAACAAAAAAGTTACAGAAGGTTCTGTAACTGACTCAAAAAGGAAACTTTCACATTACTGCCACAACTGCCACATTTAAGGCAAGAGAGACACTAAGGGAAAGGAGACAGTAAACTGATCTCAGCCAGGTGATGCCAAGATGTTTCAAGAGTTTTTACTAGTTGTCGCTAGAGGACAATCTTTATTGGAGAGCAAGAACCCATCAATTCTGGATTAGTGGGAAACCAGTGTACTGATTAATTAGAGTTTTCCACTTACTACAAATGTTTTCCATTGAAAGTTTTACAAAAATGTAATTATCCCTCAATCAGAAAAATATGTCTAGCTGAAATGATCTACCTGTTCGCAACATATACCCAGGATACAAATGTTAAATGTACATTAAAATGTTGACGACTACATTTAAGAATGAGAAATATCAATTAAACTCAAAACAAGTTTCAAGAAATGCTAAATTATAAATCCTTAGTCAATTTCAAGTTGAAACAGCAGAACAACAAAGAGTGTTACCTTAGTCACCAAGGTAAGATTTCAGGTTACCTTTCCATCTTACCTCCCTCAAAACAGCAGAATTTGTTCTTACCTGTTAACTGCACCTCTAGCCAATTCCTCCAGCATTAAATCTAGAGCATTAGGTTTACATTCCTCCTGCCAACACGTACAGAACAGAGTAAGTTGGAAAACCTTGAGATACCAGTGCACGATGCAACATCTGCTTTATTTTGAAATTTCCTAGAGAGAGAGAAAAAAAGAAAGTAGCTATTTACTCAGATAGGTATACAAAGAATTAACTGAATTTTAAGACTAGAATAGGGTTTGTTTGTTTTTTTGATACACTGGTTGTATTAAAACTCCTAGCCCGGTTGTCAAAAATATCAGTACAACCTGTTAATCTACACATTCAAGATTCACTGATGACTGAATATAGCTGATATGAGTTTTTGGTAGATTAGTTTGTGTCAAGTGGTATTTGGGCATGTTTAAGTTATTAGGTTGATAAAAGGCACCTTTCATATTTCAGCAGCTCTTTCTTTACTTTTATCCCTGTGAATTAGGAGGATTGAGTTCTATGTATGGGGTATATTTTGATTTTAAAGCACAAAACCGCTATTGCTGGAAGAGACACTAGAGAGAGAGCTGAGTATATATAATTAATTTATACACTATTTGGGACAGGGACTGTCTCTGTTAGATGTTTGTAAAGTGCCTATCACTATGGGGATGGGTCCTCAAATAAATGTGTAATTTCAGCCTAAGGTCAGCTTAGACCTGAGGAAGAGCTCTGTATAGTTGAAAAGCTTGTCTATCTCACAAACAGAAGTATATCCAATAAAAGATATTACCTCCCCCTTGTCTCTCCAATATCCTGGGACCAACATGGCTACAATACTGCATAACTGATAGATACATTTAAAAAAAATTAACTCCAAAAATACTTTAAATGCCGTTTTCACAACAGAAAAGAGATGAGTAATATAAAATAATATATTTATATCAAACATGGTTCTGTTCCACAAAAGTTACGAAGACTAGTACACTGGTGGAAGGAACCAGACTGCAGCAAAAGCCCCAAGAAAAAAAAATATGGCTAAGTAGCCAGAGTTTCACCCGGGATGGGGGGGGGCGGGAGTACAAGATTTACTGGAATATTCATTACTTTAAAATGGATGCAAATGCAGACTACCCAAATGCCTGTTCAGCTCTGATGACCAGAGTGAAGGGTGTGTGGCCATAGCCTAGCCCTCGCACTGTTCAGTGCCAGTGCAGAAACAGAGCAACAATCTAGCAAAGCAACAAACATTTTTGCCTACGTTGCTTGGAACTAGGAGTTCCTAAAAAGGAGAAAGGATATTTTGGCTTCTGGCTGAAGCAGAGTTCTCCAAGCAACGCCCGTGCTATACCCTCGATGCACTAACTACTGAAATATTCACAAGAAAGACACACACACAGTAACAAGAAGTAATACCCAAAAGTCATTCCCAGTCCTCAGAAACCAATGCGTGGAAAAGCTCTCAAATACATATTCAACAGCTATAGCTAAATCAATAATTATAAATTGTGGGACCAGAAGTATAAAAGACAGTCTTTCATAGCATTCAGTTTTAAGGCTTAAAAGAATTATATGCAAATACATTAAATATCCTTCCCTTTGAATATTCATGGAGACTAGAATACCAAAGCGTTTCATAAGCAGACAGAATATAATTAATCCAAAATAACATATTAGAATTCTTTTTGCTTAAAAAATACATGGTGATTGTAATAAGACTTAATTGCTGTTAAAACATTCAGGCAACAAGTAAAACAATACTAGGACATTTACAAGTCATGTAAATATGCAAAATATAATATGCCCTAACTACTAATAGATTTCAAAGATTTTTTTCTTTAAAATTCCTAAAACTGCCTCAGGAGATAAAGCCCTTAAACTGTCAGAAAATTAAAATCAACCACCACAAAACATAAAATGACTGCCAAGGTATTACTTAACTGTAGGTATCTTAAAACAAACAAAAAAAAAATACAACAATTTAAAAAACGAGACATGCAAACCCAGTTCTGGAAAAATGTATAATTCCGTAAGCAGAAATTTTAAAAAAATCAAGGCATATAAATGATTACTCTAAAAATACTTTTATTAAAAGAGAACCTCCATCTTATTCCATGGATGTCTAATTCTATAAATTCCTGCAAACTACCTATGCATTAATATCCAAAATGAACAGGTACAGAGGGACATTAAAAAAAAAAAAAGCTGCTAAAGCTGTGGTTTTTTTCAATAATGCTCTCAACATTCATCCCTATCACAGGTCACCAGATCCTGCTCAGAGTGACAGCTACAATGTGCAGGTTTTATTCTTGCAAAACAACATGAGTGACAGAGGTGGCCTTATATGAGTAATCAAATGCTGCATGGGGGGAATGAGCTGATTATTAGTTTTTGGGTGTTTGATTTTCATTGTTAGGCTGAATGGTAGATGGAGATTTGGTTGGCCTACAAGTATTTAAACACGGATAAGCCTAAAGTATCAAGTAATTCAACATGTGGTTGCATCTAAACAAGACAAGGATGAGGCAGACGGTTACTACAACCTCCAGAGTTATAATCTCTTTTACTGAGGAAAACTAATGGTCAAGAGTTCTCCAAACTAATCAGTATTGATTGAGGACATCTATTGAAAACAAGAATTCACTTGAGGATAAAACTATCCATAACATCTTTAGCCCTGGTCTACACTAGGGCTTTAGGTCGAATTTAGCAGCGTTAAATGGATGTAAACCTGCACCCATCCACACAATGAAGCCCTTATTTTCGACTTAAAGGGCTCTTAAGTGGATTAGCGCTTAAATCGGCCTTGCCGGGCCGAATTTGGGGTACTGTGGACACAATTCGGCAGTATTGGCCTCTGGGAGCTATCCCAGATTGCTCCATTGTGACCGCTCTGGACAGCACTCTCAACTCAGATGCACTGGCCAGGTAGACAGGAAAAGAACCGCAAACTTTTGAATCTCATTTTCTGTTTGGCCAGCATGGCAAGCTGCAGGTAACCATGCAGAGCTCATCAGCAGAGGTGACCCTGATGGAGTCCCAGAATCGCAAAAGAGCTCCAGCATGGACCGAACGGAAGGTACGGGATCTGATTGCTGTATGGGAAGAGGAATCCGTGCTATCAGAACTACGTTCCAGTTTTCGAAATGCCAAAACATTTGTCAAAATCTCCCAGGGCATGAAGAACAGAGGCCATAACAGGGACCCGAAGCAGTGCCGCGTGAAACTTAAGGAGCTGAGGCAAACCTACCAGAAAACCAAAGAGGCGAACGGCCGCTCCGGGTCAGAGCCCCAAACATGCCGCTTCTATGATGAGCTGTATGCCATTTTAGGGAGTTCAGCCACCACTACCCCAGCCGTGTTGTTTGACTCCTTCAATGGAGATGGAGGCAACACGGAAGCAGGTTTTTGGATGAAGATGATGATGATGAGGAGGAGGAGGCGGCTCTAGATACCTCATAGCAAGCAAGAAGAGAAACTGGTTTTCCCGACAGCCAGGAACTGTTTCTCACCTTGGACCTGGAGCCAGTACCCCCTGAACCCACCCAAGGCTGCCTCCTGGACCCAGCAGGCGGAGAAGGGACCTCCGGTGAGTGTACCTTTTAAAATACTATACATGGTTTAAAAGCAAGCATGTGAAACGATTAATTTGCCTTAGCATTCACGGCTCTCCTGGATGTACTCCCAAAGCCTTTGCAAAAGGTTTCTGGGGAGGGCAGCCTTATTGCGTCCTCCATGGTAGGACACTTTACCACTCCAGGCCAGTAGCACGTACTTGGGAATCACTGTACAACAAAGCATTGCAGTGTATATTTGCTGGCGTCCAAACAACATCTGCTATTTATCTCTCTGTGTTATTCCCAGGAGAGTGAGATATCATTCATGGTCACCTGGTTGAAATAGGGTGCTTTTCTTAAGGGGACACTCAGAGGTACCCGTTCCTGCTGGGCTGTTTGCCTGTGGCTGAACAGAAATGTTCCCCGCTGTTAGCCACGGGGAAGGGGGAGGGTTGAGGGGGTAGCCACACGGTGGGGGGAGGCAAAAATGCGACCTTGTAACGAAAGCACATGTGCTATGTATGTAATGTTAACAGCAAGGTTTACCCTGAAAGAGTGTTGCCATTGTTTTATAAAATGTGTCTTTTTAAATACCACTGTCCCTTTTTTTTCTTCCACCAGCTGCATGTGTTTCAATGATCACAGGATCTTCTCCTTCCCAGAGGCTAGTGAAGATCAGAAAGAAAAAAAAAACCACACTCGTGATGAAATGTTCTCTGAGCTCATGCTGTCCTCCCACACTGACAGAGCACAGACGAATGCGTGGAGGCAAATAATGTCAAAGTGCAGGAAAGCACAAAATGACCGGGAGGAGAGGTGGCGGGCTGAAGAGAGGGCTGAAGCTCAAATGTGGTGGCAGCGTGATGAGAGGCGGCAGGATTCAATGCTGAGGCTGCTGGAGGATCAAACCAATATGCTCCAGTGTCTGGTTGAGCTGCAGCAAAGGCAGCTGGAGCACAGACTGCCGCTACAGCCCCTGTGTAACCAACCACCCTCCTCCCCAAGTTCCATAGCCTCCTCATCCAGACGCCCAAGAATGCGGTGGGGGGGCCTCCGGCCAACCAGCCACTCCACCACAGAGGATTGCCCAAGCAACAGAAGGCTGGCATTCAGTAACTAAGTTTTTCAGTTTTTAAGTGCAGTGTGGCCTTGTCCTTCCCTCCTCCCCCAGTCTCCCCAGGCTACCTTGGCAGTTATCCCCCTATTTGTGTGATGAATTAATAAAGAATGCATGAATGTGAAGCAACAATGACTTTATTGCCTCTGCAAGCGGTGATCAAAGGGGAGAGGGGAGGGTGGTTAGCTTACAGGGAAGGAGAGTGAACCAAGGGGGCGGGGGGAGTTCATCAAGGAGAAACAAACAGAACTTTCACACTGTAGCCTGTCCAGTCATGAACCTGGTTTTCAAAGCTTCTCTGATGCGTACCGTGCCCTCCTGTGCTCTTCTAACTGCCCTGGTGTCTGGCTGCACATAACCAGCAGCCAGGCGATTTGCCTCAACCTCCCACCCTGCCATAAATGTCTCCCCCTTACTCTCACAGATATTGTGGAGCACACAGCAAGCAGTAATAAGAGTGGGAATATTGGTTTCGCTGAGGTCTAAGCGAGTTAGTAAACTGCGCCAG